CTACTTTTTTTTTTTCTGATTTCAAGCTTATATGTAATCAGGGTAAACATCCTTTTATCCCAGATTTTTTTGTTTTCCATAAAACAGGGTTCTTTTCTATATCAGAACTTATTGCCATTTTGGAGGGGTTTGGTTTTCTTCTACATTCAATAAAAATATGAAACAATTGTCAAAATTGCATTCCTGTCTTTTCCTCTCTCACACAATGTAGAAGAATAATTACTATGAGGTTGATAGGTATTTTTCAGTTTTCATTCTTTTTCCAAATATTATGCCTTCTTCAAAGCTAACTTCTTCACATTTTTCCAGGTTACTGGAAAAAATGTAACTTTCCCCACACACTTGTCCAAAATTGCCTGTACTTGCAGAAGTTATTGAAAAGCAAAAGGTATCTGAGACAGATTTATAAGGCAGTTCTGAAAAATCACCTCAGCATTCACTTAAATATTTTTTCCCTTGCAGAACAGTTAAGTGCCTTAGGGAAACTGTTTCTAGATAATTTTTTTTGAGGATATGTGAGACCTAATGCAAAAAGTCAAAGCTTGTCAGAGAGTAGCTTTGCCCTTTTTCAGTCAGGTTGCCCATCAGGCTTAGATAAGCTAACCACTGTCAAAAATGGGTGAGATGCTCAGAAAGGAAAGTGACCATTCAATGGAGTTTGGGGCATAGTACAAAGCAACAATTCTATTACTAATTGCAGATTTCCATGTAACTGATCTTGTGATAATATTGTTAATGCTTCCCAGATTATTAACTAGGATTATGCATGCATCCATGGACCCACAGACCCTCATCTTCCTGAAAATGCTTGTGACCTTTCCAGCCATAAAAGGCCTGGACAGCTGAAAAGTCATGTGACTGCGAGGACAGCTGGAATATACAACACTAAACCCAGTAAATAATGAAAGCTTCCTCTCTCTAAAGCTAAAACTTAAAAACAGAGGCTAGATATCTATCCTGAGAAATCTCAATGAGGCAGATTTCAGAAAACATACCCCCTTCTAAAAACCAGTCCCCACAGAAGTTGCTCAATCATAAAACAGAAGCACTCCAAGCCACTAGACACACTTAAAACACCTCGATCAACATGTGCGCAGTTGCAAATCATTAAAACACCTCTTACAGTGAATTGGTACAAGCAAATGACAGAAGCAGTGAAAGATACGGAGCTTGGTTATTTGTTGTGGAGGCTGGCAATACGACAAAAGGAACTGGGATGAACAACACTGGAATGTAACATAGGAACTGTCTTAAGGTATAGTGTGACTCTTCTCTGACACATCTGAACCTGTCTTCAGACAACGAAAAGCATTTATGACTAGCCTTTTCTCTCCAATACATAGTACATGTTGCTCTTTGATACGATTGCTTTGTATGACAGCAGTGCCTAGGAAGGAGGGTTTCCTTTTGCTTAAACAAAAGGAAGAATCTCTCCATGAATGTGAGTTTAAGACTTCACTCTTCCTGTGGGATGCACATAGAAAAAATGGCATAACTGTGAAAAGATACTGTAAGGTGCAGTTTCAAACTGAATGCAGTTAGACTGATGACAGGAGATCATGAAGACAGGAGGAAGCAGATAGTAAGAAAATGTAATTATTATGTTAATTCAACCCCGTTTGATTATTTCTAACATCTAAAATTTTTCTGGACTGTAACTAAATAAGTAGATACCATATATCCTCAGCAGCTGCCTACCATCTTTTTTTAACTGGCAGTTTTCTATAGATACAGAGGCTAGGACAAGTCTAAAGGACAGATCTTAAATATTAGTGAAACAGGTCACTTGATCATTTCAGGGAGAAAATTCCTGTTGTATAGCATGTATAGGTCACAAAACACTGACTGCACATAAAGTAATTCTCATTAATATCAGTCCTTGATACAGATGCAGTAACAGAAATTTTTCTTTTGCATATGGGCTAATGAAGAGAAAGAAATAATTTCTTTTAGAACATCAAGAAGTTCACAAAATGCTACAGCATAGTACAGGTGGAAGCACAACCTAGAGATCCCATCCAAAAGCCAGTGATTTCAGGACTTCACAAACTTCCCTCCAAATGAAAGATTCTGAGCAAGATCATAGAATTTAGGGAGAGAACACTCTCAACAGTCCATAAGCAAGAGACAAAGGGAGGAGAAAAACAATCTTCCAATTCATGAGAAAAACTTTGACAATGCCTTGCTAAGGGATATGCTTGTGCCAGAATGAAAATAAAAGTGGCACAATTATAAGCTGAACAGTCAAATGAGGAAAGCATTTCCAGTGTAGAAAGGGAACTCCTCAAAGGAATGTTTGTAACAAGAAGCTATGCAAGCTGCCTTGGAGTCCACCAACAACTATCTGTCACAAGTAGAAGCAAAATAACTATAAGCAATCTCTTAAAAATATTAATACTAAGAAACACATTAATTAACCATATGAACACTCATGAGACTGAGCCTTTCCCATTGCCTCAGAGCTAGAACTGGCCTGTTATGCAGCAAGAACTGTCATTTGGATTACAGATGGAAAATAACTGACAGAAGCAAGCTTCAGGCATGCTTTTTCATCTTCACCATGTAATCTTACACTAATTTGACTTAGTGTTTACATTTTCTCTTCATTTTACAATATGACGGTGTAGATAGCTGCACCATTCCACACACAGTCTGAACTGCCATATGCCATCTATGAGATTATTCTCTTTTTTTCTTGCAACTAGATGCTCAAAATGTAGCAATCTGAATCTGAACAAAATGAAAAACTTGATCTTAATATGTCTATAGCAAAAGGCATCTCCTGTGGAGATTATTATCTGACATCCTATTTAATATAACGACGATAGCACTATCGCTCCCGAGCAGATCATTATCCTGTTTTGCTATATTTGAGGGTAGCACCTGATTCAAATCAACACTGACATGTGCTTTCATGATTGTTTTGAACAAATGTTATTATCCAGAGAAAGTGATTCTTTTCCACTGTCAAAACAGTGAGTACACGTCAAGTGATCACACAGTCAAGTGCCTCTGTCCCTGGTAGGAGTTTTAAAAACAGCTTCTAACTAGCCGATACAGTAATTTAGAAATCAGAAAATAATTAAAAAAACTAAATTGATACATATTACCTTTCAGAATTATTAAAGACATAGACATAAAACACCACTTGTTCTCTTAGGAAGCTAATGGGAGCTCCTCCAAAGACTTTGGATAGTCTTTGGCTCCTTTTCCTACCTGCGAATGGGGGGGAAGCAGGACAGATTTCCCTTCAGGCCCAAGAGAGCTGAAATCTTTGGCACAAGCTCCAGTGCCTGGTCACTTCCATTCACTGGCAGCAAATTCAATATTATGGAGGGGAATTTGTTTAAAAATAAGTAAAGCTCATCATAAACTGTCATGGAACATTATAAAAAAAAGGGAATATTTCTAAACTATAAAGATTGTCTATTTGGATCATGTTCGTGGTAATCTCTGCTCCCTTTCCCCTCTCAGGAATAAATTTGATCCTGCAACCTTTATTCATACGAAAGTAACATTTGCAAATGTGCACTGAAGTCAGGCCAGCCTAGCTCTTATGGGTCACACCAAGTCCCTTATTCATACTGCAAAACAGTTGTGCAAGTCTTTCAGATGACAAAAAATGAGTCAGTTTACATAACTGCTCATCAGTATGAATAGTGACAGTAATGAGGTGATAAATTGGAACAGTAAGGAGACTTGCTAGCATCGACTAATTTTGTAAGTATTTTCAATTTAAGTACAGCAAAATAAAAATATTTGGCACTTTGAAAGCTGAACTTCATGTTGCTGGATTATTTTCAGCCAGAGTGAGTAGACACAATTTGCTGCTACTCAGTGTATCATAGAAAATATTTACTTTCTGGTTTTCCTTCTTTTATTTTGGAAGGCTATACAATCTGACACTTACACTACCAGTCAATCTTTGGCACTTTTTTCTGTACAGATGTCCTTTATTCTACCTGTCTCCTTCATCTGTGTTTCCATTGTTCAGAAACAGTGTTATCCCAATGTTTCAAATAATAAAACCATGCAGTTGATTAGAATCATAAACACATACAAAAATTTAGTTTCTGTCTTTGCTTTTTATGTTATCCAATAGTGGTCTTATCCTATAAATAAACCTGATACTTTGTTCATAAAACTGTTAGCTAACATCTTAAACAACATATGAAAATCATAAGTATTCTGCGGAGACTGCAGGGAAGAGAAAGACAGTGAGAGAGAAACAGTAAAATTCAATCATCTCCAGTAATTTTTTAATGTAATCAATGGGTTTGCAGATGATTAATTTTAAAAAAAATGATATGTTTAATCACTAAATGATATCTATTTGTAATGATAAGGTGATTCTGTTGTTGTCTAAAGGCCAGAGAGATAGCTAAAACACATCAAACATAAGGTGTGTAGCTACCCAGTGTCTTCCGACTTTCCTGGGTTTTGGAAATATGAAAGATTTTTAGAGATAGTGAAGCTGCCAATTGGTGAGAAGACCTATTATTTACCCATTCTTGTGCTACTGAGTAATATTAAAACATTAATGTCTGAAAACACTGACAGTTGTATACCATCATAGTTTTCATGTTCTAATTTTTACAGAGCTTACAAAAATCCAGTTAGCAGAGGCATTTTAAAGAAAAATCCATCTCACTGCAAGACTTTTCCAGGCAAAAATCTCTAACTGTAACCTACAGTAGGAAATAAGTCACTATATATGCCATTATTTGGTTTCCCTCCTTCTGCTTTGCTTTGTTCTTCTTTTCCTACATATCCATACTAGTTCATCTTGTGAATTCTAGTGTCTCAAAGCATTTTTAAACCAGTGAACAAAGGGAATAAATTCAGGAAGAATGAAGGAGGGAAAAAGAAATATCTGACCTGGTATTACCAAAAAAATAAACAAACAAAAAAAAGACACTAAGATGAAAACAAAATAGTGCCATGGATTTACATATGGGGTTTTGATGGAAACTAGGGCTGGGTTTTAAATCAAAACTCACCATCTCAAAACCACTTCTTTTCATCCGCCTGCAGGACTTGAGGTAAGTACGTATGCGTTTTCTGGCACGCTCTTGATACTCAGGGAATTGTCGCCTGCATGAGTCAATGATAGCCTGGATCTTTTCTTTGGGCTGCTTAGAGATTGGGACCATTCGGTCCAAGTTTTCATCTACAAACAGCCTGACAAACATCTGTTGGCAAGAGGGAGACAGAGGAGATGGGTTTGGAGGGCGGCTTTCTTCTCTTTCTAGCTTCCTGTCTTGATTACTGATAGGAAGACATTTTTTCTATCCACTGAAGAGCTTTGTAATGGGAAGCCAGAAATGTTAAGCAAACAGTTCTTTAAAGGGTTATTTTGGGGGGGCTGATTGAAAAAAAAGACAAGAAGAGAATAGTCTATAGGATACAGAACTTGTGAGATAAACCAGAACAGACTGTGAAAATAGGCACTACTTAAGTTTCGTTATTAACAATAAACTGTGATTGCTAATCATTTTATTGAACTGAATCTCACTTTTGCTTTGTTTGAACAATTGCTTGTGTTTTCATGCATAATTATATACATTGGGAAAGCAATAGAAAACAGCTGACCACAAGAATGGTCTTCTGATAGACTAGCTACAGCCCCTTTCCATTCAATGGGTGAACGTGCACATACACACATCCACATCCACACACATTGCCACACATGCACACATAAAAAACAAAGCTTTGTTTTCCTCACTGGTAAGATGGCACTCTGCCTTATAATTCTAAATAAAACACAGTAAATCTGTCATCTGTTGGCAAGAGTTTAATGTGCATTAAGATAATAATTGAAATAAGTCCTGCAAATTAAATTAATGTGCCTTTAATATTGTCGAACTTACCCATAAATAACAATGTGAAAGGAAAGTAGTAGAGATAAAAAAGGCAACAAATGCAAGAGGACTTACATTAAAAGCTTTCAGTCGCTCAGCTTCTACCCCATCTGATTCATTAACCTTCTCAGGATCTTCCTGCTCATCATGATCATCCTCATCCTCATCTCCTCGATTCAGAGACAGATCTTCAGCACCTCTTCCTACACTCTCATTCTTGCCAGAGTCATAGCTTGAATAGCTATGTGCAGGGGACTGAAAATAGAGAAAAAGAGTATGTTACTAAAAATTCATCACAGAAATAAGGTCTACCCATCAAACATACTTTATAAATAACTAACGAATTCCATGATTTCTTTTTATTCTTTGTTCAACATAAAGTGCTCATAACCCTGCAAGAGTAAACAATTCACTAATATTAATTTCAGTACTTTAAAAAAATATGACCAGATGCAAATTCAGTAAATCAATTAACAAATGAATTACCTACAATAATTACAGTTGATGAGACATTTGCCATACAGCCTTGTTTAAGTACTACCTACAGAAGTTTCTTACAAATACTGACGTCTTCATATTAGTCAAGATCTAAACAAACGGCAGTCAGTTTGCACAAAAGGATTAAAAATTACATTTGTTAAAGTGAAAAGAATTTAAGTAGGAAGCATTGATATTCATTCAATCAATACAAAATATAATCAAGAGCTGCAATAAGTTATTCAAAACGTGGAGATAATTATGTTCTAGTTTCACTTGCAAAACCCCAAAATGAATTAGAGATATGTAGGTTTGTTAACATGTTGAATGTTCTTCTGAGAATCACACAGTAAAACCATTTTCTGTTCTCATATCAGTGTTCAGAACGTTCCCCTGAGCAGAACATTCAGCTTGCTGGATAAATCAGATGACCATCTCATTAAAGTCCTCATCACTTGTAGGACCAAAAAGTTTTCAGTTACCAAGAGTCAATATTGTGCATTTTTCCTTGCAAAATCAAGACTTCAGTTACCCATTTCCTCTGCATACACTTCAAACCGCAGATCACCAGAAGACATCAGTAATAAAGTCTTCTACAACTTAACACTTTATGACCAAAGATCCACCCCAGTCACACAAAAATTTTACAGAGTATCTTCACCTGTGCCAACAGATTTAGATTTAGGTAATTCACAGCACAATTTTACTTCTACAATATTTTAATCCTGTAATATTTCAATATTTTACTCTCTTGCTTCAAAGCATACTGTAGTCTATTAACTTCAGAGTCCTGTATCAGGTGCTACACAATGAACTTCACATACACGCTTTTTTTTATGTGCCTTCTGCCTAAATGTCACAAAAAATCAGGAGCATTATGCCTTAATCAAAAATACGTTTCAAATACTTCAAATCACATGCCTTGATCTACACTTTGAGCCTGCTAAAATTGCCTTAATTTCCAGGGTGTTTTCACCAATCACAGAACGTATCTGGGCAGTGAGGTAGGAGGGAAAGGCCAACAAACCCATTCATCTTTAAGGTATACATTTTGCTTTCCAGTCTTACTCCAACTTCGTTTTTTCTTTCCCTGTTTTCATTTCCATTGTATGTTGGTCCTCTGTGCACGACCAGTTTTGAAGTCACTCCCATTCATTTTCTTGCCTTAACAGCACTCATAACACTAAGCCGTCCTTTTTTTAATCTATCCTCCCCAGACTATGCTCTCACAGTACAAACCCCCTGAAGCTCCACTTATTAATCCCTAATGATCCTAACACCAGATCTTGCAGCTTCTCTCATCCCCTTCCTTGAGTTCTTCACTCTAGACTACTCTCCATTCCCTAGACCCTTGTAGGAGATACAGGAAGAATGAGAAAACCTTGAAAGAAAACAGAAGATCCAGCCTCTGGATACAGACACCTTCAAAAGTAGCAAACTCCGCATCACCTCTTCTCTTCTTATGGCCTATGACTGCACAGCTACAGGGCAAACAATTAGCCAGTGTTCAGGATGGCAGACGTGAGACAGCATGCGAAGGTAACACTTAGCAGAGAAGCAGAACAACTCTGTTCCTTTTTTTGACACATGATATTTTGTTCTGGGAAGATGACGAATATCTACATGGCTGTCCATTCAGATAACTCTTCCTTGCAGGAGGTGTTGAATCCATTGAATTATGAGGCCCCAGAAGAATATGGTTCCATCTGATAGGAGATGATGGCTATAATTTATCAGAGTCTAGCATATATAAGCAACAGTATTTAACCTGGCCAATGGCTACCAGAAGGCCAACATCTGCAGCCTGGTAGCCTGTTATGAAGGAATAAGAGTGATTTTCCTTGATCCTGAAGAGATTCCCAGAAGAATTTTTTTAAAGAAGTTACAATTAATTAATTGTTACAATTATTGTAATTATGTCCAAGTGCTATGCAGTAGAAGACCTGACTTAGGCTGCAAGACTTGTTTTTTGTACTTCATTTCACCTCATACTACAGCTATACAGCATGCAGATGGCTTCTACGTAATCAAAAAGCCATTTAATGTGCTAGACGCTATATAGAGCTGTAGTAAGCTGCAGCTACTGCCCTGAAGAACCCTACTGTCTGAAATCCTTGTTCTGCAAACACTTGATTTCGCAGGAGTCATTTCATCAGACTAAATCCAATTAGACTACTCATGTGCATAAAGTTAAACAGATGCAAAATCGATTTCAGTATGTACATATGTTTGGGCTGGATGCCAAGAACATAAATTATATACCAGGACTGAGATTTGCTTTTGTGAAGGAAAGAAATCCAGGCCAAAATGGATTACCTATGTCTCAAAAATGCAATGCTACTATTTTTTTTTTCAAGAAATCATTGCATAGAGAGCTTTGTCCAATGTCTTCTCCAAAATATTTATTTCAAGAACAACTTCAGCATCCTAAATGAACTGTGAAGAATAACATCTCTGAGAAATACGCATGGCAGGAATCCATATTTATTCATCGTGGATTCAAAGACTGTGTACAGTAGCAGGAAAAACTGGTGGTTTTTTTTCCTAGCTGTTGTGTTGGCAAAGTAAGAGAAGAGGTTACAAAAGCCCAGAATAAAATTTCTACCTTTTTGTATTTCTACACAGATGAACATTGAGTCAGAGAAAGAACAGACTGTTCTGCTCACTTGTGTTGACTCTGCAGTTGTGCAAAAGCTTTTTGTACTCTACTAAGCAGCTGCAGTGCTAAACAAACATGGAGTAGGACAGCAGAGGACACATTTTCCTTAGTACATGTTCCCCAATTTTAGATCTTGCACTGTCCTTTCAAAAGGCTGCTCCCACCTTTGTCAGACACAAACCTGCTCATTCACATTCCTGTACACCCTGTGACATATACATTTTTATGGTCCTGCAGTGAACTAGACTGGAGAAGTGATCCTGGTTAAAGTGTTTTATTTTCTTTTGCCAGTTTCTTTAAGATCAGGATCAGTTCTTGGCTCCAGCTCACCACCTGAAAGCACAAAGCATTGGGATGGCAGGGGAGTGTGAACATGGAAGGGACAGAGGGAGCATACACATCTCTGATGACAGCAATGCAAGATCAAAGCAACCATGGAGTGGAAGCATTAGTAGATACAAGATGTTCCACAGGTGAAATTTTTTTTCTTAACAAATGTGGGTTGGAAAAGAAAGTGACAGCAATATAAGAAGAGAAATCATTCAAGGAGAACAAATGAGGCCAAGGCTAAGGTCAAGAATATTGCCTCCCTCAAACATTTGGATGATTATAAGGTTGTCTTAAAAATACTGAGATGTTGATAGGTATATTCTGACCACTTCGTCCTTGTCCTTTTCTGAAGGTTCCAAGTTCATTATTTTAATCTCTTCCTTGCAATAAGAAGTATTAGAGACTTCTACTTTATAACAACAAAAGTAAAGGTTCTTGCCTGACACCCTGCTTTCAGAAGCCTGTAAAATGAAATATCAACATCTTTCCAATACATTACAAGTCAGCAATGAAAGTCACCTGAAGTAAGGTGTCAGATCGTACAACAAAAGACGTGGAAAGACATCAGTGTCATCTAGTGCATTTTGCCGCCACAGAACAAGATCGGAAGGTCATTCCTGACCACTATTTGTCTGGTTCTCTTAAGAATACTAGTAACAGAGATGCCATGCATCTCTCAGACAATCTACATCAGTGTTTCATTGTCTTCAGAACTATTAAGATATTCTTACAACCTACCTCGGAATTTCATAAATGGTACCAGGCCTGTTTCTTTTTCACCTAGCTACCGTATATGGAGGACAACAGAGGTCAGGTGTACCTGGAGAAAAGAGCATTCTATTCCCTCTTTACATGAAACTTTCAGAGATTTGAAGACTGTTATCACATCCTCTCCCTTCAATTTTCTCTTCCCAATAAACGCATTCATCCTATGAAACTTGTGTTTTGCAGATTCATGATCACTCTTACTGGCTGCTTTGGATGTTCTTTATTTGGTCTGAAACTTTACTACAGAGCAACCCCCAAAATTCCAAAGTGTATTCCATTTCAGGCCTTTCTACAGAAAATAGATCCATTTATTGCTTGACAAATTTCTAATATGCTTATAGCAGCAGTTGATCACTGTATTTGCAAGACAGAAGAGTACCCCATATATGCAAAAGACAGTAATGCAGAAACTCCACAGCTGCCAACAGAAGTCATGTTGTTATTTTGTCAGAAATAAAGCAGAAGGAATCCAGAACATTAATAAAAATAATGTCTACCATAGAGATCCAATGCCTGGTAGGCTCAGACACTGCTGTATGAACATCAGACATGGTTTGGAGGATGATGCCACATCAACTCATTGTAGGAAGCTTCTTCCAGCAACTGACAGCAAAAGATACTTGGCTATCTCGGTGAGTGTACATAGGTGGCTGTTACTGGACCAAAAGTTATTCAGTGCCAGAAAGTTAATTACTGAGGTTGGTTATTTGCAATGACCAAAAACTGGAAAAATCATGGCTTTGTGAGTATTTAAAAATGCCAAAAGGGAACAAAAGACCCTACCTTTTCAGGAAAAAAAGTCTCTCAAGGAAGCCTAGCGTGATTTTTCTTTTTTCTTCTTTTTTTAAATGAAGCTTTATTTTAAACATTTAAATTACATTTTACCTTTAGTTGGATAGTTTTACATTTAGTTTGATAATGTATAATTCTTTCAGTTTTTACATTAGACACTCATAAACCACAGCACTCCTGTGAGCTGAAGAGATTTGGAGAGTTGGAGAGTTGAAGAGTTGGCAAGACA